AGAAAAATTCTAAGTATGTAGTTTTATATGCCTCAAATTGCAAGTTTAAAGGTGCTAAATCCGCCTTGATTTTTGGCATTTTTTTGCTGACGGCGTTCATATTTAAAGTTTCGAAATTTTATTTTTATATTTTTTGCTGTAGTATGAACTATATTTTTATAAAAAATTTGCGAAAAGGAATTAGAATAAAAAAGTTTGCATACATTGCGAAAAATTCTCTGCGCCAATACTTTTGTGTGGCACTGTATGTAAATAACTATTTTTTATCAGTGAATTAAGAGGCTTTTTATATACTTTCTTTAATTATGAAAATGCCAATTAAGGGCCAGTCGACTTATGTATATACAAATTACTTAGTAGAAAGAAAATGCGTGACACCGCCAAAAACAACAACAATTTACAAAAATCAACGGCATTTATACCAAAAGTTATTAAGCTATAAAACTGGCCAACAACAATTTTTCGATAAATCTAAAGAAAAATTGCTTTGAGTTTTAATGAAATTTTGGGTATTTTTTGCACAAAATTTTAAATTTGAATTTATATGGTTTTTGTCTTATCAAAATTAATGAACTATAAACAAACAAAAGAAAATGAGTCAAACCTGGTCAAAAATGTTTAGGTGCTATCATTTTGTCGCGGCCTGTATATGCTGAGCGTCAGTATGTACCAGCAGATTTATCTTTTATCAGTTCAAGTGTAAGATACTGGCGATCAGTTTGCCTAAAAGTTGATAGGAGGTGTGGAAGCCTTAAAATTAGACTGCTCCAACAGGTTAAAGTCTCTTTCGTGCAGATCATTTTCGTTAAAGAATCATGAATCGCATGAAAGGAATCCAAGAAATTTGTGTCACACCCACCTTCGAGCAGAAATTTAATTTGCATATATTTACTTAATAATTTATTTGGGGTGCTTTCTTTAGTATGTGCATATGTATGTATTTGTAGTTATATGGAATTCTTTCATAACTTAAATAAACTAAGATTTCTTCACTAATTTTTATTGACATTTTAATTTAAAAAATCGAGAGTATAAATCCCTTTTATTTATTTTTGATTTATGCAGTGTGCTAATGAACTTATTCACTCGCCATTAGCAGCTTTTGAGTTATATATAATACTGACATTTGCTGCTAATAACTCAATTAGGCGCATCAGCTGATATCAGTCTTTTTTCACATTGTAGTTTTTGTTTTTATCATATTTTGTTTTTATTATTTTTTTTTGGCTTTGTTTTTATAGATATGTTTTTTTTATAGGAGCCCAAAAATACAGATTGTCGTACTCTGCTGTCAATGCCATAAATTCGTTGGCCTCATTGGAGTAGAGCTCGCAGATGCCACCACAATATGCCATAGTTACTATTTGTACATAAATACTATGTACATACTATATTTACATATATATATGTATGCTATAACACAAAACAAAGCGCAAAATATTTATATTTGTACATAAGGGTGGCTCAAATAAAAGAAAAGTCGGAATTTTAATGCTCTCACCTCCTCGGATTTTTCTGTATCGAAAAAGTATACCCCTATTTTTTATTTTGATCAAAACGTTTCAGTTATTATTGGTCCCCCCATTGCATTTTGTGGGGTGTTTGGCGAACCTATAAAAATATAGTTGCGATGAAAAAATCGTTAAACAAACAATTGGGTATTATTATTGGACGTCTCCTGAAGGGAAACAGAGTTTTTCGACCGAAAAATATTTATTTTCGAGAATTCTATACGATTTCTACGAAAAATTATTTTTTCTCCCATATAAAATACACGGAAAACTTTGAGCGCTTTTGGCGACCTCTAAATATTTTTTGATTTCAAAATAAAAAATAGGGGTATACGTATTTTTTCGGTATAGAAGAATCCTAAAGGGTGAGAGCATTAATATTCCGACTTAACTTTGGCCCACCCTAATGTACACACTATTTACATGTAAATACATGCATATGTGGTGTGTATAAAAGCGTTTTCATTCAACTCCTCAATGACGTTATCGTTTTGTTACTCATGCCATGAAGTCATTGAACAGCGGTTGCTTAGCTAAATTATAGTATATGCACATCTGTTTAGCAAATTTATATAGTATGTAGTACGTACATACAAATGTACTTGTGTATATCTGTGTACATATGTACACACGCTGATCACAATTACATCAAAGTCATAATTTTTATGGTCGCAATTTCCTTGCTGTCTTACATCATTTGTTAGCCATCAATGTGGTTTTTTATTCAATACAGTTGCTCTTACATACATATGTATGTATATACTATATAGTAGTTATCTACATATGTACATACATATAGAAGAAAAATCTGTTATTTTCTGTTGCCATCACTGGCAAACTCATTTAGTGAATCAATTCATGTCAACACGCACCTTTTGACGTTTTGGCAATAAAATGTGGAATTAGGTCAGCTAATTATGAGGAAAAGTGTTATTTTATTTTATTTCACTTCATTAATTTTGTTTATGATTACACTGTATAACTGTGAAGATTAACTTTTTGTGCGACCTTGTCCAGTTCCAAACTGTGGTCAAATAGTTCACGAAGCTATGTTTTTGTTGTTGACACTTTAAATTTTTTAAGGTGTACTTTAACACCTACCAAAATCTGCGAAAAACGCAGCTTCGAAAAAAGTGTTGGTTAGGGCCTTTGTGAATTAAGGTACATATATGCACTCAGAGTCTTCATGTGGATTATAAGAGAAAAATATTTATATTTTTTTCAGAATTTTTTCTGTTTTATTCTCTTCATTTCAAAATTTTTTTCAGAAAAACATTCGTTTTAGTCATTATATAAAGAAAATTTTTCGAAGAAACTGCACTTTTTAACCGACTTCAAAAAAGGAAGAGTTTATAAATTCGTCAAAATATTTTTTATGGGATTTTTGGGGATTTTAAAAATCAAGGCCAACTTGATAATTAAATAATTTCACGCAAATAATCTGATTGCTTTCTTATTAAAAGTACTGTATTGTACTCTTCCCACTCCTCATTTTTAAGGCCTATATGAAATTACTATTTTTATTCTTTACTAGAAAATACCCGACGTGCTTTCCTGCACCTTAAAAGGATGTTTGTGTTGCTGCTGCCTCACAAAACTCTTATGGTCTCATTCATAAAAAATAAAGTAGATTTAAAGAACTTAATGAAGGGAGATTTTCAAACAAATTTTCGAAGGTATATAGAAAGTAGGTAGAGTATCGGCTTTCTCCTGTAAATTTAATTTATAATCTTATAACTCGAGTCTACATATCGTGTACTTTCTTCAAAGGTGATCTAATTCAATATTTACCTTATCTTATAAATTTAACTGGATTAAATTCTTCAAACTCGTGGCAACTCGCTTCAAAAATATGTTCGACAGAAAATGTTCTTAAACCTCTTTAGTTTAACATCATTATTGTATAATTTCATTCATTTTAACAATTTAAATGTATAAAATTTTTCAAACAGGTGACAACCCCCTCAAAAATATTTTCCGCATTAAAATTTTCTAAACCTCTTTAGTTTGATACCAATATTTCAATATGTAATTTATCTTATTAATTAAATTTAATTACAATTCTCAAGCAGGTGGCAACCTTCCACAATAATATTTTCGGCTCTGAGCCTTTTAAACCTTCTTTCTTGTGACAGCCACATGGCAATATTTAATTTATCATATCAATTTACCTGTTACAATTTTATTACGTTAAAAATTTGCTAAACAAAATACCTAATAGGTATTCACTTTTAAGTTAAAATTGTTTTTAATTTCTATCTATGATAAACTTTTTCTTTACAACGTGCCCACCTTTTTTTAAACTATTTTTCACTTCAACGACCAAATTAAATTTTGAAAGCTTTCACTTCCAACATGCACAGCAACTGATTTAACTCAGCACAAACTTTTAACATAAACGATATCAACGATAATGTTTTTTTTTTGTTTCTGCTTTTGCATTTTCCAACAAATGCATTTTATCTACCATTAATGGGCCTTGACCTAAATTTTCTCTAACCACAAACATAATATCATCTCTGGTACGCGGCGTTGCTGGCAAAAAGCTATGAATGCTCCGCTCATTTTCACCGTCGTTTGTAGTCAAAATGGTAGTTTTGTTGTTGTTGTTGTTGTTGTTACTAACAATTTTCACTGAAATAACACAACATTATCATAATGTAATTAAGCTATCCAACAGTGAATATTTCTCACTTTCGCTTATCACTGTAGCCATATAGGCGCCATTGCTGTCGGATGCAATGCCTTGTTTTACATACATACATACAAGTTGCCCATTTACACATGTACATGTGTGCTCGTATATCATACACACATATTTTTGTTTTTATACGCTTCTCAAATATTTGGCATATGCAGTTACGTTTACTACGATTTTGCACTCAAGGACGACCTTCAATTGCATAGGCATTTAATTTGTGTGGCATGTATTGACAGTTGATTTAATGAATGAGGCTGTGGTAGTGGTTGTGTGAAAATCGTGGTAAAGACTTGTGCTGTAGCAGACATGAAGGACATTCTACGAGTACACACAAGCACTTAGCTGAGGACCTTGGCAAGCTGACAAGTGCGCTTGTATGTTAAATGTTGTGTTGCATACTTGTAGGCGTCGAGGCTGCAGATGTGCATGCAGTGAACATGTGCTCTCACGCCACTCGAATTCTGCCATTTGTGTGCATTTTTAATAAGACCGGAAGTTAAGCTTGATTGGCACAATCACAAACTCTAATGATATTTGAGAAGTTTGCGCTGGAAAGAGAAAACTGAATGCATATCTGTAGGCGCATTGGCTGATATTGCTGCTACGCTGTTTTGCCTTTTTAACAAGGTTGAAGTGGATTGTGAAAAGAATTCTCAGCGCACAGAGTTTGTTCTTAATTAAAGGGAGTTCGTAGCATACAGTACATATTAAAAAATTCAACTATTGATATTTAAAACTTTAAGCAGCGTCATCTATAATAATTTCTTACTTTTTCTATTTACTTTCAGATTTGAACAGAATTTCTCGTTTCAAAAATAAAAACAAACATCAGAGCATCAGCATTTCCCCCCCTCCAAAATTCATTTTGAGGCCAAACAGTTCCAAACAGAAGCAACTCCGTCTTTGCCACGGTTACCGCCAAAGTAGCTGAATTTACACTGTTTTACGTCGTAGGGAATGGTATATTTCTTGGGGGATTGGGGCATGGGAGATTCTGACTGTGCGTCATATCATCAACATGTTCCAACAATACAACAGACCAATTTGCATGCCCACAGCCACAGCCATCATCATCAGCAGCAGCAGCAGCAACAGCAACAGCAACAAGTGCAACAGCAGCAACAGCTTCAACAAAATGAGCAGCAGCATATTGAATTGCAACTGCAGCTACAGCAACAACAACAGCAATCACAACATCGTCAACACATTGCCGAAATTGCACCTGCTCTAGGTCAATTATCGCCCATACAATTTGGTAGCGGCACTGCTGATACAACAACACTTATTGGCAGCGGCGGCAGTGGCAACACCCTCACAGCCGTTTCACAGCAGCAACATTTACTAAGCAATTCACCGCAACATGTTGCTAGCAGCACATTGGTCACCGCCAACTTGCAACAACTTTCTGTCAGTAACAGCAGCCGTAGCGGCAGTCACTGTTCAACGCCCATTAAAACGGCGGCCATCGAGGCTTTTGATAAGTCCGCTTATCAATCACTGCAGCAGCTACAGCAGAAACAATCGTTGCCAGCACAAGCACATCCGCTTGCCTCAGCGACAGCTGCTTTGCATCAGTATTTGGGACGTCAACGTTCCGATTCGTGTGCGGCAAATGTTGGCAGTTGCACGAATGCACCATCAGCGCCGACTGCACCAGCGGAGCACGGTGGCCACAATAACGGCGGTGGCGGCAACAGCAGAGCAACAGCGGCAAATAGTTTCCTACAACCCCAGCTGAGTAAGGATCTCTTGGAAAGTGAGGATGAAGTCGCCCTGCAACCGCTCTCAAATCAGGTAATTTTTTTTATAACTTAAAGCTATGAACTAGTACTAATAGAGAACTAATAGGCAGAGGGAGTTTAGAAACATTGATTTGGGAAATTTTACTGAGGGCATGAAGAGCTAGCGCTATAGGGTCTAACAACCATAGTTGGTTCCCTGCATGTTATGCATTTGATATCTTTGAAAATTTCACGTTATTTCACTTGACCATTGACATTGTACCTCACCAGAAATCTTGATCCAAAAGCTGTTCCCACGACAGTCGGGTCTACGTAACCGGAACGACCCAGATTTATCTCTGGCCAAGGACTGCCACTTCAGCAACACTCCCCAAAAAGTATTTGGGGAATTTGTACGCTGCTTCAACAACAACATCCAAAAGCTGTCAGTGGTAGTCTCTGCAGCCATCTCCAAAAAATTAGCTTCTGTTACAGATATTACATCGTTTATTCTTTTGAGGTTATATTCATGTCATAGCGAAAAATTTTTAATGCGCCAGAGTCATAGTAGCCCAACTGCCATCAAAGTCAGGTGGTTGCACTGAACTTTTTACTCCTAAGAATTCAGAGAAAACGGCTATATACGATGAATCCAGGGAAACTTACGATTGCAATTTTTAAAGTCCGTGACTGTGAATTTCGCGCGCAGTAACTTTAAATACAATGATTTTCCCTTCAACTGCTATCGATTAAAAAACTACTATAAAATTTGGAGCAAGTTGAGTCATTTATATAGTTTGTGTTTGACAGTCATTAAATGCAGAGCACCCCGCGAATTTTAGCGAAAATAGAAAAAGTGAATTTCGGGCTATGATTAAGCATAATTTTTTGCGTAAGAAATTTATTACCAAAACCAAGGAAAGGCCCGATAAATAATATGGGGATTGTGCACCATAGTCAATGGTTAAAAAGTGGTCGTACCAGTACAAGTGATTCCAAACGTTTAGGTCGCCCAGAAATCGACGAAAAATCTATGAAATGATATTGGACGATCGGAGAATGAAAGTGAGTGAGGTGGCTGAGGCTATTCGCATCTCAACTGAGTGGATACATCAAATTTTATATGTATATTTTTGGATATAAAAAAGCTATCTTCGCGATGGGTGTCGCGCTTGCTCACACTCGACCATAAACGAGCTCGTGTGACACTTTAAAAGGAGTGTTGGGCGATGTTCAGCCGCAATCCGAACTAGTTTTCGCATCGTTTAATGACCGCTGACGAAACACGGATCGACCACAACGCACCAGAGCACCAAGGAACAATCAAGAAGTGCACCAAAGAAGGCAAAAGTGCGCGTGTGTAGTCACCATAGAAAAATCCAGCAATTGGGCTACGAACTACTATGCCATGCACTAGATTTAGCCGTCAGCGACTATTTCCTGTTTCCAAACCTAAAGAAATGGCTGGGCGATAAGAGATTTGGGTCGGATGAAGAGGCCATCACTGAAACAAACACTTATTTGAAAGGAATTAAAAAATTGCAAATACGCTAAACTAAATGTACCGAGCTAAAAGGAGATTTTTTGCCCAAAAATATATCTTTTATTCAAAAAGTCAGTGACTCGTATCAGTGCCCACACCTTAGTTGACACTCGACGAGAGAACGACACCGGAAGGCCCGCGGAGTAGTATACCCAATCGTATATTACTTTTTAATCTACATTTCAGTGATAAAGTTATGATTTATATTACGATTAACAGAAAATTTCAGAAAGGTTTTCGTGCAATCTGTCTTATAGGATTTGAGAAGTTATTAATACATACATAGATAATTTTTAATTATTTTATTGCACTTAGGTAAATTTGGCAAATCGATCAATAAAATTTTAGATTGTACGATATAATAAAAACCAAAAAATTCGACAAAAGAAATCCCCTTATCGCGAATAGAAAAAAACTCGCTAAGTACATTGTAAACCTATGAGTTTTTCTTATCAACCTACTTTCTGTATTTGAAATTAATAATTTAGTTATTCATTGGGCTTAAAGCCAATTGTTTGACGAGAAAAATGGGTTACCTTTCAATTAAATCATTTTCCTTTTACTTTTCATATAACATCGACCACTTCCTGGCATTAACAGGCAAATATACAGGGTGTCCCAGAAGTAACGCGCCAAACTTTAGGAGAAGGTAGGTGGGGGGGTGAGCTCACTGATAAACAAAAAATTTTCAGGTAAAAGTGTCACCGCTTTTGAAATATTTACATTTTTTTTCGAATTAAAAAAAAATCGTGCTTTTTCATGTGTTTTCTTTAACTGCAACTACAAACCGGGCAATACTTAGTAAATTAATTATGTAAAATACTTCCAGATAGTTGCCTCTCCATACTCAAATGCAATGTAGTTAAAATATATTAAGGAACCATCATAAAATTAGGACTATTTCTGGATTTTTAACTTTTTGATATT